CTGTCCATTTTCTTTTAAAAGACTGACTTGGGGTTACAGTTTCCCATCAGAGTTACTGTGAGCAAAGCGTTGTAACCTTGGCTTCAGTTCTTCCCTTTCACAGCTCTTTTGAGAGGATCTAATGAGGCTTAATGCTCTAGAAACCTTCTGATGGAGTCTGCGCCGTGAAGTAGCACCAGCTGTTGACACACATTTAACCACTCCTTTCAGTTCTGATTTCGTTTCACCCATTTGTGTGGGCAATTAACGAGGAAATTAGAGATTCTTGATTTTAGCCTCGTGCTGATCTGTATTCTGATACTTGAGAGCAAGCTTTGATTTGTCTCTCCAGTTTCTTACAAGTGGGTATATTTGGTGGTAGAATCATTCAGCTTAGAAAAGACCTCTAAGGTCACCAACCCCAACCCCTCATGTCCCTCCTTTTGAGTTTGCTTGCCCACTGCCTGTAAGCAAAACCTCTCTGTGCAAACAGACTGAAACTGAGCCACCTGAAGTACTTCAGAAACTCAGCATTCCTTTGCCCTTAGAGCTGCTCGGTGACGGGTAGCATCCAGTGCTCAACAGATTTCAGTGCTAAGAATAAGATCTGATTTGAACTTGAGGTGCCTCTGATGGACGTGAGGAGTTTCCTCACTGATTCTTAGTAGCCTGTTCCCTTATGGCTTCCATGGCAGTCTTTCTTGGACCAGGTTTAAGCAGAAATGTTCTTTATTCAGCATCTCACATCTGCTTTGGGAATTCCAGGTAGAGAGGGGATGCTTATACTTGGGAACCCCCCCCTCAACCAGGATAGATGGAGCACAGCTAAGATGAAACCATGTTGGTTGCCAACTGTTGCAAGCTCTGCTGAAATTAAATCACTTGGTGGTGATAAACAGTGCCTTGTAACTGCTGTGAACTTATTTTTACTGGTTCCCAGTTAAAGGGGGCCCTAAAGCTCATTTTGACACTTTGGGTCTGGAACAGTGTTAGTATAAGTCTTGAGCATGATTTGAGTCACTAACCATGATATTTTTCTGGTTTACTATGGAAGAAACTGTTCTCTCATTGAGGTACCGTGAGTACAGGAACAAAAGTTTTGTTCAGAAAGGGGAGGTGAGCTGTGTGTCTGACAATGCAACTCCTGTGCATGTGCAATTTGTTGTGGATTTGCCTCCATTTTGGCAGCTGGTGCAGCTGGGTTACTCTGCCCATCTGACTTGCATCCCAATCAGTCTTAGAAAACACAGCTTTTAACCAGGCATTTGTAAGAGCTTTACTTTTGTCACTCCTTCAGGATTATGTGAGTGATGCTTCCAAAACAACAAACATAGGCTTTCAAGATTGAAAATCCTCTTGTTATTTTATCCTGGATCTTTAAGGCACGTTGTGACCATCTGGTTAAAACTGTGTGCTGTTTGGGTCGCTCTCAGTGGTGCTCACCTGAATTCAGAGTGAAACCCTTTTCTTGATTTGCACATCTTTGGCACAATTGTCATTGATCCCAAAGCTGCCTTTCCAGATGCCTGCCTCCCTGCTCCTTCTGTCACCATTAGTCCTTCTGTTTTTCCCTGCTGGTATCATTGCTGGCATGTCAGGTGTCCTGTGGAGCAAGAACAGCCTTGAGTGCAGTGGAAACAATAGACAGAAACAACTCCAAATTGGGCTGGTGTGTTATAAGCTACTGAAGTTGTGCTTTTTTTTCCTTGCACCAAGTTAATATTTTTGAACTCTCTCTTCTTTATGAGCCACTGTTGAAATTATTACTGCTGTGTGTCAGCTGAGCATTGTGCACTTTGTATTCAGAAACAGAATATCTGCTGTAAGTGCAGGTTGTCTGAGAGCTGTTTTATGAAGTCTGCTTGCTGATGAAGGCTAATACTCCAGGAGTCCACGTGAGTGAAGAGCAATCTAACTGCACAGGGTAGAAGCTTTGCTGTCCATAATTCTAGGAAGCTGGTTAAGTTATTTTGGGCTCTTTATTTCTCATCTGCAGTGATCAAGACTTGCACAAAGCATTGAGATAAGGTGATAGAAACCCTCATAATCTTGTGATCCTTTGCTGGACTTGCTGAAGTACATCCATGTCTGACTGTAGTTGGGAGCCAGGACTGGACCCTGCACTCCAGATGTGATCTCAGCAGCAGTTGGGCAGAGGGGAGGGATCACATCCCTGGTGATGCTTGTCCTAACCCAAGGTGCTGTTGGTCCTCTTTGCCTCAAGGGCATGTTGGTGGCTTCTGTTCAACTGAGCACCCACCAGGGCCAAGCTGCTTCCCACTTGATTGTTTCTCACCCATCCTGTACTGGTGGCTGGGCTTTTTCCTTCCCCGTTTCCCCACACTGAACTCCACGAGGTTGTTGTTCACTCAGTGTTTGTGATGTTTGGACGTGTCTGGGGATTATTTTCTCCATCACCTTCCCAGGGCTTTAGCTGGTAGCTTCTTGCATCGCTCTTCTGGGACGTGAGGGTGATGACTGCTTTCTTCTGATCTTCAGGAACCTCTTAAATCACCTTTCAAGAGATGCTTGAGGAGGGACCCTAGGACAGAAGGAGGAAGAGTGTAACTTCTATGCCACGGGATGGCTTTGTCTGTGTAAAGGTGTTCCTAAAGTTGACAGGTTGTGCTACTACGTAGTGATTTCTGACAGTCTCATCTAGTGATTACACAGCTGACACTGGTGGCATGCTTTTCCTTCTTTCCAATAAATACATCACACTTAATCCTTTGAATTTCTCATCTTAGATCAAGCGTCTGTGTTCTGCTTTACAGGAGCTTGGTGATCTTCTCTTCTCACCCCTCCCCCCCAAAAAAATACCATAAAGAATGGAATCAAGGAAGGGAGATGTTGGAGTGCAGTGAGCAGGCACACACCACTTTACATTTTATTGAGTGCTTTGTGATTATAAAATGACCAAAAGAGTAATTTTCAAGTGTAATTTCTGAGCAAGGATAATGATAACCTTACCCAGCAGGCCAACATGCTGCGTGCCAAAGGAAGAGATTGAGCTTACAGCCATGCTATTTGGAGGAGGCAGAAACAATTTCATGCAGGGAGCCAGCAGTTAAGGTTGTATTCAATTATGCTTGGTGAACCACTATATAAAATGTCCTGGTTCCTGTCCCTTAAGTTTATTGCTTGTGACCAGCCTTAATGGGCAAGTGAGATAACACACAAAGAAAGGAGCATCAAAGGTGGGGATGTTTTTCTATATGTCATAAATGTGCCTATGCAAAGGCATTCACTCATGTTTTTCAAGGCTTTCATGTGACTTGTGACGTTATAAGTGCTGACGTGAGGATGTAATTGGAGTTTACAGTCTTTCAGGGTTAGAGTCTTTCATGTAAATGGAGTTTAGAGTCTTTCAGGGTTAATTAGTGGAGGTTAGAGGACGGAATTGTGATGAACTGACAAAAATAAGAAAGAAACCCACACCAAGACCAACCTGATAAAGAGAAAAGCTTAATCTGTACCGTTTCAGCTGTGTGGGAGATTGTAGCAGGAGCTGTAAAACAGCTTTATCCACTTTTTCTATCTGATGTGTATCAAAGAGCTCTGTATCTAATAGCAGAATACGTGCTTCCTGTTACTGGTGACTTAATGAAATACTGTTGTATACAGAGACACAGCTTGTGTCCCTAATGGTGCTTTTACTGTCAAGCTTGACTGAGTTTTATACCCTTAATTGGAAAGGTATCCTTTAGATCTGAATCCTGCTACGATTGGCTGAGTGTAATTGTAGATACTGAAATGAATCCCTTTCCTGTTTGTGCTTCGCACTCAGGGATTTTTGTAGCATGTGCTCATTTCTCAAGGTTTTGTTTTCTTGCGTGGGGAACGCGGTGGATTTATGGCTGTGTTAAACGAGGTGAGCTGGATGCGTGCTATTGGTGGTGCTTTTTGTATTCCTCAACTTGAGGTGACCTGCTGAGCTTGAAAGCAGCATAAAACTTGAAACTGACATCTTAATATTTGATTTGCTGTGATCGTGACCTGTTAACCTTTAGCTTTAATGGTGCTATATAGTTCTCCTTAGATGTTGCAAATGTACTCTACTGCGGGGCTGCAGTCAAGATTTTCTCTCTGATTGATGATAAAATACACTTTGTGTAACCACCCCTCCGCAGTGCGTGTTGTTTCTAGGAGATATCAATCTCCTGTGTTTGTTATCTCAAATTCAGGAGAGTCTTTGCTTTCTGATGTAATGTGGGCTTTGTGCAGATAATGCACTCGGCTACTTGATTAAGAGCTACAGAACGTAGGGTTTGTAAGGAAGGCAAGAGTTGGTTTCGTGGTGTGGTTCCCATCAATGTAAGCTGGAGATTGTACTAAAATCACCAACTTGACCACAGTGACCTCAACCTCTGGTGGTCAGGAGGGGTCGGAAGGCAATCCTCAGCAAGGTAGGTTACAAATAGTGGCAACAGTGAACCACTTCACTTAAACCACTTCCCAGAACGTACAGAGATGCACCAGGCATAGCTGTCCAAGGGCATTATAGGGCTTTGTATGGCGTGAGGATGGGATGGGGAGCAGCCACAAATGAGGAACCCTTTGTACTGTTCTTCTGCTGTGTTGATACGTGGGCTTGCAAACGTCTGTCAAGAGATCTGTACCCTTTCAATCTCCAAATAAAAATGTAATCAAAGGAGAGCTCTTAAAAGATCCGTTTGATTGGGAAGTGAGCTAACCGTGGCTGAGTATGAATGCAGAAGTGGAATCTGACATTACAATGCATGCTTCAGGAACTGAGAGGGATATTGCAGTGCTGGCAGGGTCAAAAAGCATCTTCTGTGAACATGAAGTATTTCAGCTAATGAATTGCGTTTGCTTAATTTTGACATTAGTTTTTTTTTAAAGGACTGCAGGTGCAGAGAGTTGCTGATGATGTATGGAGGGGATCCAGAGCTAGAGAAGCTCATGATCTTTTCCTTTCTAATCTTGGGGTCTGTGGCTTTTTAATCTGAATAATGTCACCTTAAATGCTTTTCTTTTTTGTATTTTTTCTCCCTCATCAGATTTCCTTTATACCCAAAAGGAGGAGAGAAGCTTCAGTTTGAATATGGAGTGTATCTTCTCAACAAAAACATAGCACAGGTTGGTACACTGAGATTTTTTTTTTTACTGATTATCTATCATCTCCTAGTGTCACTATGGCAGGACTACTGTCTTGTGAGGCTCTTCTCCATAGAGAACATCTGTCAACTGCTGGAGGCACTCTTCAAGTGATGGCCCTCACCTGCCTTACTGCTTTGTGTTCAAGACCTTCTCTGCTGCTTAGAGGAGGGCTTGCCAGCCAGTAAGCCTTTTTTTCCTGTTAAATGGTAAATACTGTGTGTGTACGTGTGCTGTTTTGAAAGTAGAAAGTGTTTTCTGTTATTTTCAGCATATTCATTTCTTTCTCATCGCCGTGCTCTTTAATATTATTATTTTAACTGGAATTCTACCTCAACACTTGTTTGATAAGAAAACACAGCAGTCTGGAAAACCGTAAGCCTTGCCAATGCCTGAGGTGTTTTTTTCTTTTAAAGCCCTATCCTTACTTCCTTGCTCTTATGTTGTTTTTTGGTTTGTTTGCTTTTAAATCATCTCCTGTGTTGCTAAATGCACGGTTAATTGCTTTTGCCTTGTACAAGCTGATGAACTATTGGAGATGGCATTGATACCTGCTGCCACACGCTTGGTATGGAATTCAGACAGTGTTCAAAAAGCAGAAGCTGATCCCAAAGGGACCTGTGGGGCCATTCAGGTTGGTGCATGGTCCTAAAGCAGGATCTGTGCATCTCTGCTTAGTTGATTACAGACCATGTCCTGAAAGATAGCCTGGGATCGATCAGTCTGTCCCTGTTCTTTTCTGTCTTGGCTGTTAAAAGCTTCCCTGACATCTCGTCTGTCTTGATTCTTTAAACCACGTAGCCTCTGATTTTCATAATCTGTTCATTAATTTGCTTTATATGCAAGCTGTTATGCATTGAAAGACAACTTCTCCTTGTCTGAGTGTCGTCTTTGGATCGCAGCTCTTAAGGTTGGAGCATTCTTGTTGCCTGCTGTTCTCCATCTGATCTGCATCCTTCTTGAAGCTCCGTTCCCAAAGCTGGGTGCTGTGTTGAGCTGTTGCCATCAAAGCATTGAGTAAGGGAGAAATCTTTGCAAGTCTTTGCAGTTTTTGTTAAGCTCCTTATAAGGTTTGTACCCTCATCAGAATAACAGTGAAATTTGTCCTTCAGCACAGGGCTCAGTCCCTTCTGTACACCATTCTGTGTGCAGATGACTCCTTTAAATGGCATATTAGGGTACCCCAGGCTGTAGCCTTAAGGCTGCACCTCTTTGATTCTCAGAAATGGTGGCATGACGTAGGAGATTGGGAAGTAAATGGTGAGAACTCAGTCTCAGCTTCGTGCTATTTGTGTGTGAGCCTGTTCTCTGTTCATCTAGGTCTCTGGATGGAAATACTGAGTGGAGCTGGGATGAAGCATAGATCCACATGTAGCCCTGCTTCGTTATTGCCACTTCCACTTTTGGCAGTGAACTGTTAATTACACTCAAAGAGTTCTTGCTCTGGATTCATTCTGTAGGGTGCTTTGCCAGTGTTCCATTTCCCCAGTCACTTGTGTACCACGAAGTGACAAAATAATGTATTTAAATTCAAGCAGAAACACGACAGCTCAGTTCCAACATGTTTGTGGGACTTGAAATAGGAACTGACTTGATGCCTGAAAAATCATTTTTATCCTTAATTTCTGTTTGTTTGGTTTGGGTTTCTCCTCCCAACTCTCTCTTCCAACCCTCCCTACCTTTGAATTAGAGTAACGCTTCTGGATCCTATTGTTTGGAGGGTTTTTTAGGCTTGGATTGTATTTACCATTTTCCAGACTTCTGGTATCTTGCCCATACTTCGTGTATTTTGGAAGATAACCTCCAATGGCTCTGAAATTACTTAAAGGCTAAAATAGCTTAAGATGAAGTTAATCAAATCCTGCTAATCTTGGAAATTCACTTAATCAAGCTGTTAATATAACTTAGACTGTGACTCTTTGTTGCTGGCATTAGTAATGGCAACCATCTGTTCACGCTTTCGCAGGGAAGACAGGAGTGAAAAAATGGATTAAATACTCCCTTTCCTTCAAATGATTGGTAGCTTTCTCTCTCCATTAGTATCAAATCCACGTTTTCCTTAATCTGTTCTTCATACATTCATTACTTCATTCTGTAGCTTGCGAGTGGCAATGCTGCTTGCTTTCATTTTTCAGCCTCGTGTGTTTTCCTGCATGATTCTGAAGTTGGCCATTGGGTCGTGTGGCAACAGCTACTCTGTGCTGCTTCGGTAGGTGAAATGCTGAACTCTTTGTTGAGCCCAAGTTGGTAGAGTTTCCATTTCCTGCAGTCTGGGTTGGTTGGCACTTGTGCCTGTAGTATCTTTTTTCTTATTTTAATAGGAACTGTCACCACTTCACTACTTTTCCTGTTCTTTTTCTATTTGACTTGTCAGAGTTGGGCCTGCTGAAATCACTCACTCTGATTTTATTCTTGTCCTGTTTCCAAAGGACTGTGAACTGTTGAACTCACGGTCACTCATTCCCGTTCCCTTCCTTGTAGCTGACTTCCAAAATCACAGGCGTGTTTTTAAACTCATAAAAGTAAATGAAGACTTGAAGGATGTATTTGAGTTGAAAAATGTTTCCCAACTTGCATGAGATCACTGGTGCAAAGCAGGGTAGTCGCTGGCCGAACTGTGTGAAGTGGTTTTGTTCTACACCAGTGGTTCACGCGTTCCTGGTTGAGGTTGTACATTGCTGACTATAAAAACATAATAAAAGCAAATCAGAAATCTTGGGGGGGGGGGCTTCTACTACTAATTTAATCATGAAAGTGTTACTGAAGTCTATATAAATCGTTTCAGTCACCTCTTCTTTGATGTTCTTTGTCAGCTATTGCAGCTTTCTATGGTTCTGCCAAGAGGAAATACCGCCTTGAAAGCTGTGTGAACAATCTAGCAGAGCAGGTAGATAATATATGGAAATACAAGAGTTCTGTGTTCAGGGCTTGATCTAAACCCTGAGACTGTTGGAATCAGCCTCCAAGAGAACGTGAACGTAGGTAGCTCTCAGCGTAACTTACCGGAGTTTAAGTTGCTCTTTGAATATCTTAAGGATGCTTTGGGAACAGCTTCCAGATACGCTTACTTTGAAGAGAATAGACGCCAAAAAGATGGAATGGGTAGGGAGAGGTGGTCTCCAGACCATCACAGCCTGTGAGAGAATCCTCTGAAGGCCCAAAGGGGTTGAGGAAACAAGTCCTGTGAGTGCTCTGTCATGAGTTAACGCGGATCCATCCATTGCTTTACTCCCTGGCTGCTGTGTGATGTCAGAGCGTGGCTGACCCTGCTATAGTGTGAAAGGAAGAGCTCAGGTCTCCATCCTCACTGAGTGCCTCGTGTGAATCCTGATCATGTAGGTGAGAAACAAAAAGCTCGGAAAAACCTGCACTGATGCAAATGGCTTCTTGCAGTTTCATGGAAGCTTCCTTGTGTATGGTTTTGTTGTGTTTTTCTTCTTTCCTTTCGTAATTATCTGGAATTCTCAGGGCAAGGCGAAATGTGAGTGGGGAAGAAGTGAGGCTGGGTTGATATTAACAAAAATTACTGAAATGCAAACTCTCTTCTAGAGATAAAGTGGTACTGTTTTGTGAAACAGCAGGATAATAACAATGAAAACCACATCTTGCACTCAGGAGAATTCAGCTGGAATTAGAAGCAGCCCAGCATTAGCTCGGTAGAGCATTTATTTGGAGAAACTTGCTTTGCTGTTACATTCCAAAGTCAAAACAATGTGTGTTAATTCTGAGAGTTCATAATAACTTCCATCTGTATGCAAGCACAAATTCAGTCCCTCTATTTTCTGTTTGTAATACTGAAGCCTTCACGATGGTCAGAGTAGTTTTTTATGTGGGATAATAGTAGGTAAGCCCATAAACTTCCAGTTGTGATTTCAGCTCTTTGGTAATGAACATGCCCAAGCATTTTTTTTTTTCAAAGGGAAATTAATGAGTTATACCTATTAATGTCAACAAATGGAGATCACTGCCGTTCCTGAGCACGGTCAGAGGTGAAACAGAATAAAGTTGCTGAAGATGGCAGTGAATTCCGTGGGTTGATAAAATGAATTTCATAAGCATTAGATACCAGGAGATAGCAGCAACAGAGCTTGTGGGGCCAGCTGTGTTTTCAGTGTCTGTGGAGTATCAGAAGAATGTAAAGCTTTAATATGGCAACGATATCAACTTTTGCATTGGTCTTTCACACGGGATTTCATGCCATGAAAATGGTTCTGTTGAGTGGATAAATGGTAGTAGCTCAGAGTTGAGATTTTTTTTGTGCTCAGCACCACACAACATGGGCAAGGTAGCATCTCCCAAAGAGGGTTCTTATCTTAGGGCATGGTCAGCTTGGCTGTGGGCTGTGATCAGCTGAGCTCTTGTAAGACCTTCAGCAGTGGTCTTGGTGCTCCAGGATTTCGCTCTTTTATCTTTTATGTTTATCTTTTAATCATAGAGTGTGGGGTATGAGTGTAATGCTTGACTTGGAAATCTCAGGCCTGTTGGAAGAGAGAAGCTTTATTGCTGCTTGCTGGCAGCCCTTCTGTTTCCTTTCATTCCTGCAGCCTTGGTTGCTCAGGTTGACTTTGGAGGCTCTTTGTTATGTATGAAGAGATGATTCTGCCGTGATTTCAGTGACAACCCATCCCTCTTCAGATCACAGAATCATGGGTTGGGTTGGAAGGAACCTCAAGGATCGTGAAGCTCCAACCTCCCTGCTGCAGGCAGGGCCACCAACCTCCCCATTTCACAGCAGCCCAGGCTGCCCAGGGCCCCATCCAACCTGGCCTTGAACACCTCCAGGGATGGATGGGGCATCACAGCCTCTCTGGGCAGCTGTTCCAGCACCTCACCACTCTCATAGCACAGAACTTCCCCTGACATCCAGCCTCATTCTTCCCTCCTTCAACTCCAAACCATTTCCCCTTGTCCTGCTGTTATCTCCCCTTTCCAAGAGCTGACTCCCCTCCTGTCTGTAGGCTCCCTTTAGGTTCTGCAGGCTGCACTGAGGTCACCCTGCAGCCTTCTTTTCTCCAGACTGAACAAGCCCAGCTCCCTCAGCCTGTCTTTGTAGGGAGGTGCTGCAGCCCCCAATCATCTCTGTGGCTCCTCTGGCCCCTCTCCAACAGCTCCCTGTCTCTCTTGTGCTGGGGACTCCAGACCTGGGCACAGTACTGCAGATGGAGCCAAGAGCAGAGTAGAGGGGGACGATCACCTCCCTGTCCCTGCTGGCCACCCCTCTGCTGATGGAGCCCAGGATGCCATTTGCTTTCTGAGCTGCAGGAGCTCGCTGCTGGCTCATGTTCCATTTTTCATCTACCAGGACCCCCAGGTCGTTCTCTGCAGGTCCTTCTCTCTAGGTCCTTCTCAAGCACTGCTCCTTCAGTCTCTATGGATGCGTGGGATTCCTTCAGCCCAAGTGCCAAACCTGGCACTTTGCTGTGTTGAACCTCATTAGATTCTCCTAGGCCCACCTTTCGAGGTGGGAGATGAATCCTTATTGAGAACACGTAATGTTACTGCTGGAGAAAAGCTGATGCTAAATTGTGTGGAAGATGTTACGTGGCTTCTTCCCTGTTTGTTACTTCCAACTCATACGTATACTATTGAAGAGAGTGCGAGTTACCATCTTGTTCATGAAACTACCAATTCAAGAGCTTGTCTCTAGCACGATCCATTCCAGACATGTTATTCCTCATCCAGTTGCAAGATTGCTTGGAGAGGAAGTGAATACTTTGGAGTGATGAAGCTAGATTCTTCTGGACCTGGTTGGAAGGGGATTTACTGCAGTTATCCTCTTGTCAGCAGCTCAATGAATTGTCAGCAGGTCAGTGAATTTTCTTGCAACTCCAAGCATCAAATTATTTCTTATTTCATTCTGTTGTTAAAGGAGAGAGACTCCAGGTAAGAACTCTGGAAGATCAAGAGACAAATCAACTCCTGAGTCCAGCTTCCATATAGAACTGAAGGCTCCCATTTAAGCCTTGCTGCTGCTTTAATCTTGGTTGCTACCTCTATCTGCCTTCAGTGGCCATGCCCTTGAAATGATGTTCTGTCCTTGCCTCAGCTGCTGGCTGTTGAAGGCAGACTTGCAAAACAAACCAGATGAAGCTGGGCTGTTCTACAGCTCTTTGCTTCCCTAGGGCTAAGGAGAGAAGTGAATGAGTCCTGTCTTATCCTGGCTCGTCACTGCTGCAGTCAGAACGTCCCTTCCCAGACATCACATCCACAGGTTTTGTGAAATCTCTTTAATTCATTGCACTGCATGAGCTAAGGGGTTTTTTTTCTGATCGTGTTGAATATTTGGTCAGCACCACCCCACGAGGCCAGGCTTCCCTTCTGATCCAGTCTTGATTTTTGTCTGATGACAACTGAGTGATGTTAGTCTGATATGTCTGTTCACATTGGCATGATTTGCTGAGCCCTGGCCAACAAATAGTTCTGCTTTCATCTGACAATCATTAACAACATCTGAACTTCTCTATTTGAGAAGAAAAAAAAAAATTGCAGGGCCAATCTTTTGTCAGTTCTCCCAAGGAAATTTGTTTATTTTCACATCACAGCACTGGAGATCCAAGCGAGGAACCTTGTCTCAATCTTCCTTCTGTGTGTCCAGAGCCACCGCGTCCACTTGGTGGCAGGCAACGTTTGCAGGTATTGTGTGATTTGGTAGAGAAGTTTGCACAGCTATTCCTGCTCTCCTGGGGATGTTGTTTGTGTAGCTTGTCTAAATAACATAATAACATTCCCAGAGGCATGGAAGAAAAGCAGAGTTTGTCTTGATGTATTTAGTGGCAGTCAAAGTGTTGTCTTTCTAATAGCTGCATGAAATAAAAGTTGAATGCCTTCCTGCTAGCGCCATATGTAAGAAACTGCACTGAAAATCAGCTCTTACAGATTAAACGAGGCAAGGTGCCTAGCTGCTGGCTCTGTTAGCCTATCTAACATGGGAGAAAATCAGTTTCATAATAGAAGCTATTAAACTTTTCCATGGGAAGTTGAACAGCAGAAATGTTAGGAGCAGAAATTTGTTTTGGCAATAAACACTGCTGAGCAGAAGTGTCTTAAAGAGTTGCGTGGGTATCGGTGTGGATGCAGTGCTTATGACCCTTAGAGTGCAGAATACTGTGACTTGCATACTACATCTTTTACGAGGCCCCTATCCTCAGATCATAAAACCTACGGTTGAGAAAGAATCCACTGTCTGAATCTGTGGCCAATTTAACTGCG